ACAGTGACACACCAAACCTGCCCTCCAGGGGTCACCTTTTAAGTCCCTTGAGGGTACCAAAACTGTCATTTCAATGTGGTATAAAATGAAAGGCACAGAATTCTTTGGGGTGGGATTAGAGGGATGGAAACAGTGCCTTGAGAAGTGTACAGACCTAGATGGAGGAGACGTCAAAAAGCAATAGTATCACGTATTTATAGTTTTGTTTGAAAAATGGTTTTATTCTTTTGTAGCAATACTTTTTGACTTATCCTCATATGTCCAAGGCAACGGAAACTATATGTTAACACAAAAACTTGCATGTACATGTTTATAGCAGCATTACTCACAATAGCCAAAAAGTGCCAACAACCCAAATGTCCAATAACTGATCAATGGACAAACAAAGTGCACTGTATGTCTATATGACAGAATATTATTCAGCCTTAACAAGAAGTACATGCTTCAGCATGGATGACCCAAACCTGAAAGTCCACACATTGTATGATTCCATTTATACTACAAGTACACACAATAGGTAAAACCACCAAGACAGAAAATAGATTACTGGTTATCAGGGGGTGAGGAAGGACAAGTGGGATGTCCTGCTGGCCAGGGTTCTTTTTGAGGGGATGGAAATGTTCTGGAATTGTTAATATGCTAAAAATCATTGTTGTTTTTAGCATATTGTTAATATGCCAAAAATTATTAAAATGTTTTTGTTGAATGAATATTATCCCATTTGTGTGAATGTTACCCATTTCTTAAGAAAAATACTTTTGAGAAGGTTAAAAAACCAAAACCAAACCCCCTCCCACCCAGACAATTCCAACTCAGCAATCCTGTATAGGGTCTCCGAGACTGTCAGTCTTTACAAGAGCAGCTGCATCGCTCTTCCTTGGAGCAGCTACTGAGTTTGTGTCACTGACGTTGTGGTTAGCAATTAGGAATTTCAATTTCTTTGAGCAGGATATAAAACAGAGAAGTAGCATTTCTGCTTCAAGACACATGGAAAGAGGTGTAGATTCAGGTGAGCGCCTTTGCAAACATTTTTCACTTGTTTTCTTCTCATTTGAATAGTCTATGCCAGGAATTGTTTAACTTTGATGGGCATAAGAATACCTGGAGAAATTTTTTAAAAAGAGAGCTAGGGAATAAGCAGACCCGAGACCCACCTCCAAAAATTCAGATTCAGTAGATCTGGGGCCAGGGTCCAGGAAGTCCCAATTCTAAAAAATGTTACAAGTGCTCTGATGCTGCAGGTCTGTGGCCCACACTTCAGGTAGAACTGACTGCTGCCTTATTTTGTTTTGATTTTCCATTCTTGCTGCTGAAGAGAGTAGAGGGATTTATTTGGTGACAGATCTTTGTGTAGGCCTTGTTATTTTTGGTGGTTGTACAATTTAAAAACGTATTTCTCAAGCCAAATTATATTGTAGGCCAAAAAACTAAATTCATTCACTTAGCATTGAGGTAGGAGTTGGGAAGGAAAAAAGAGTAGGTAACCCAGATGTGTGGAGATTGGCATCACCCTTCTTTGGATCTCCAGGGCTGTCCAGACCCAGAACTTGAATGTTTTGAACAAATTATAGAGTAATAAACCGAAAGTTGGAAAAGTTTTTGCAGATGGCCTGTATCCCTTTTGTTTCTAGTTTGCTGAGAGTTTCTATCATGAAAGCATATTGAATTTTACCACATTTTTTGCATTTATTGAAAAGGTCACAGGTTTTCCTTTTATTCCATTAATGTGGAGATTTAAGTTGATTTATGTTTGAATATTAAACCAACCTCACATTTCTGGGATAAACTGAACTGGTTGTGATTTATTAGTCTGTGTATAGATATTGGTGGATTTACTTTGCTGCTGCTGCTGCTGCTGCTGCTATTGTTAAGCACCGTCGAGTCGTTTCCGACTCACAACGACCCTGCACAGGGTTTCCGAGGCTGTAAATCTTTACAAGAGCAGAAAGCCTCATCTTTCTCCTGCGTAACAGCTGGTAGTTTCGAACTGCCGACCTTGAGGTTAGCAGCCTGATTCGTAACCACTATGCTACCAGAACTCCTTAATTTGCTGATATTTTGTTTAAAAAAAACTTTGTGTCACTGTTCACGAGGATTATGAATGTGTACTTTTATTTCAAAGTTTTTATCCAGTTTTGATAACAAGATTTTGCTGGCCTCATTAGAAAACAGAAAACAAGTTCTCTATTTCAGAATAGTTCGTGCAGAATTGCCATTATTTTTTCATTAAATGTTTGATATCATTCACTAGAAAGTCATTTGGTTCTGGAATTTTCTTTGTGGGGAGATTTGCTAATGTTAGTTTCTATACTAATTGTAAGGCTCTTCATATTTCTTGTATTATCTCATGCCAATCTTAGTTGAACTTTTCAAGAAATGGGTTCATTTCAGTTAAGCTGTTGAATTTGGTAGCATACAATTGATTATCCTATTTTTTTTAATGTTCATAAGATCTGTAGTAAAAATCCTTCATTCATACAAAGTATTGGCAACTTAGCTTTTCTATTTGTACTTAATCAATACAGTAGAGCTAGGGTTTCATCTTTTAAAAATTTCCAAGCAATTTTTAATTTTGTTCATATTCTCTCTTATTCATTCTCTATTGTGCTGACTTCTGTTTGAATCTTTATGATTGTCTTCTGCTTTGTTGTTGTTTAGTGCCGTCAAGGTTTGGTTCCAACTCATACCAACCGTATATAGAGTTTCCAAACCTTTAAATCTTTACAGGAGCAGAAAACCTCATCTTTCTTCTTCAGAGCAACTGGTAGGCTCAAACTTCAGACTTTGTGGCTCATAGTCCAGTGATTGTCATATGGAGCATCTGCTTAGTTTGAGTTTCATTTTCTCTACTTTTTCATTTTCTAGGCTTAGGATGTTAGAACTTTCTTCATTATATTATAAACATTTAAAGTTATATATTTCTCCCTAAGCATTGCTTTAGTTGTTGTTATTGCTGGTAAGTGTCATGGAGTCGATTCCGACTCATAGTGATCCTGTATAGGGTTTCCAAGGAGCAGCTGGTGGGTTTGAACTGCCAACATTGCTATTAGCAGGCCAGTGCTTATCCTACAGTGCCACATTGTTGTTGTTGTTGTTGTGAAGTGCCATCGAGACAATTCCAACCCATAGTGACCCTGTATAGGGTTTCCGAGGAGCAGTGCCACATTATGACTGCTTTAATTATAATTGCCCCTGTGATTTCTTCATTGACTGATAGAGTCTTCCAGAGCATGCAGTTTTACTGTTAAATTATTAGGGATTTTTTGCTTTATTGTTGCTGATTTCTAATTTAACTGCATTTGGTCAGATAATACAGTCTATATTATTTCAGTCCTCTTAAGGAGTCCTGACGTGGCACTGCGGGTTAATGTGCTTGACTGTAAAGTCCGTTTGATCCACAAGGTCTTCGGTTCAAGCTCACCAGCCACTCCTGGGAAACTCTATACAGAGTATCTATGGGTTGAAACTGACTTGCCGGCACTTACCAACAACAACAAAATGTATTAAGGAGTTCTGGTGTGGCTCTGTAAGATAAGCTGTAGACTGGAAGATTGGTTTGAACAGCAAGGTTGGCAGTTCAAACTCACCAGCCACTCCTCAGAAACCCTATACAGGGTCACTATGAGTTACAATTGATTGGATGGCACTTAACAACAGCAAGTATTGACTATGGACTGACCAACGTGTTATCCAAATTCAGTACCCCAACCTGCTTCCAGACTCCTTTCCACTAGCAGTATCCACCGTCTGACATGCTCTCCCCAGCTCATGCTTCAGTTCTTTCATGTCATCCTGGTCTTAACTCAGTGTGCTTTCTCACAGAAGTCTTCCCTGACTATCCTAACTGGTGCTGTTTGACCCAGTCATTCTCTACCACAGTCCTTTGTTTACTCTTTACTGCTTGTACTTCTTGTATTTATAGATTTACTTCTTGCTTGCCCTGTTCCCTGTAAGAGCAGACATCTTTGTTTCATTTATACCAGTATTTTCTGTGCCTACAACGGTTCCTGGAATCGTTCACTAGTGTGGCGCTATAGGATAAGCACTCAGCTTTAAAGTCAGTATGAACCTAAAGGTCAAGGTGAATTGTTGTGAACTCACCAGCCACTCCTCTGAAACCCTATCCAGGATTGCTATGAGTAGGAACCGACTCAAGGGCACTTAGCATCAACAACAACAGATACTTGTTGAGTAAATGAAGGAATGACTCTGAGATCATGAACCCTCTTGTGTAAGGTATATTCACTGCCAACAATTCAATTCTGACTCATAGCTACCCTGTGTAGGGTTTTCAAGGCTGTAAATCTTTACTGAAACAGAAAGTCTCATCTTTCTCCTGTGGAGCAGCTGGTGGGTTTGAACTGCTGACCTTGTGGTTAGCAGCCCAGTGTTTATCCTACAGCAGCCCCAGCGGTTCCTTTATAAGGTATGTTGTTGTTATTAAGTGCTATCGAGTCATAGCAACCCAAATAGGGTTTCCTAGGAGTGGCTGGTGGGTTTGAACCACGTACCTTGTGGTTAGCAAGTCTAGTGCTTATATTGCAGCGCCACACCAGGACTCTTAGAAAGGTTCAATGGCTAAGTTAAGAGCACAGTAATGGGACCCAAGCTTTATCTCAGAAAAAGCATCCAGGTCCACTGCTCTTTCCCTAGACCTTCTGGAACAGTGGTGTGGTCTGTGCTGCTCAAGAGCCAGTCTCATGAGGAAAGGAACTTAGGACAGAATGCAATTCAATGTTTCTTCTTCAAGAAAGTCTTGCAATAAAAAAGGAACAAATTTACCAGAATTATACACCATGATGAGTGATTTTATGTCCTGGCACCAGTTTCTAATCTTATCACAAACAGTTCTCTAACTGGCAGCTGGTCCAAAAACTCCCCCCACCCTTTTTTTTTTTTTTAGAACATGAGCCCTATTGATCTCCAATCTAATCACATGGCATTGAATTTCACGTCTCTATCATTTCAGATGTTCTTGACATCCTTGACATCTGGTCCAGATGGAGGTCTCAGGCATCACAGAGTCCACCACACCCTTTTGTTACGAAAGCAGCGCTGTACTGTGTGAGAATAAGACCTTTGTCTTTGTCTCTCTCACCACCACCATCCTATACTGCCTGGTGTTTCTCCTCAGTCTGGTGGGCAATGGCCTGGTGTTATGGGTCCTAGTGAAGTATGAGAGCCTGGAGTCTCTCACCAATGTCTTTATTCTCAACCTGTGCCTCTCAGACCTGGTGTTCTCGTGCCTGTTACCTGTGTGGATCTCGGCATACCACTGGGGCTGGTTGATGGGAGACTTCTTCTGCAAGCTCCTAAATTTGATCTTCTCCATCAGCCTCTACAGTAGCATCATCATCCTCACCATCATGACCATCCACCGCTACCTGTCTGTAGTGAGCCCACTCTCCACCCTGCGCATCCACTCCCTGCGCTTCCACGTGCTGGTGACCACGGCTGTATGGGCAGCCAGCATCCTGTCTTCCATCCCTGATGCCATCTTCCACCAGGAGGTCTCTGGGCAATGTGACTATTCAGAAACCAGATGGTTCATATTCTCAGTCTACCAGCACAATGCCTACTTCCTGCTGTCCTTGGGGACTATCTTGTTCTGCTATGTGGAGATTCTCAGAACCCTGTTCCGTTCACGATCCAAACGGCGCCACAGGACAGTCAGGCTCATCTTCACCATTGTGGTGGCATACTTCCTCAGCTGGGCTCCCTACAACCTGATTTTGTTTCTGCAGGCATTGTGGAATCTTGGTATCAACCAAAGCTGTGAGGTCAAGGAGCAGCTGGAGTATGCCTTGCACATCTGCCGCAATGTCGCCTTCTCTCACTGCTGCTTCAACCCTGTACTTTATGTTTTCGTAGGGGTCAAGTTCCGTAGGCACCTCAAAAGTCTACTTCGGCTATGCAGGCAGCAGACATCTCCCTCTCCCCCTACACCACATTCTCCAGGAGGCTTCAACTATGATGGCGCCTCCTTCTACTGAAGGGGAGTTTGGTGGTGTGGGTGAAGTGGAGAGGGGAGCTGGAGTAGGAATAAGGAGGACTGAGGCCGTAAGGAGCACTGCGGAAAGGTGCAACCAGGAGGATGCTGCCATTGCAGGGGTTAGGGTAAAAGAAATGCATTATACCAGTGAGTCTACATGCTGCCTCATCCAGGAAAAATGTGGCTTCCCAGCTAGGAATTTTAGATTGTTATCCAGAAAAACATTTCTTGAATTCTAACTTAATCACTCTTTATTTTATTTATTCATTCACATAGACATAGATTTCTTATCATTGTCTGGTTCAGAAGTTCTAAAACATGGAATGACTCCCAGAAAAGGCCATCCTTCCAGATGTTTATGAGGGGTTGAGCTCAGTGTGTGTGATCATTATACCAGTGCAAGTTGCTAGCAAGATGGTCTCTGCCCTCCCGACTGATGAGTTCACTGTGGAGGTGACTGGCTCTGTATTGTTCAATAATTGCAGAACAGAATTCACGACACACCCCTCAGTAAAATCTGGATCCTAGGCATCTACCACTAGATTAGAGACACGTTCTCTCTCGTTGTTCTAGTTCCTGGCACGTGTATTTTTGTTCAATAAATATTGAAATAAATATAAAAATAAAATAAATATCTGCTGGCCTACTGAGTAAGAGACTAAGGCTTACTGGTGGAGTGGGGTGCCTCTGGACACTTATTGGTAGAGCTAAAGAGCATTATAAAACTTGTTTAAGAAGGGCAGAGGTTAGGCCAGCCCCAAAGGCCCAAGGATCTGAGAGGCTAAGGCACCAGAAAGCAGAAGCTGAAAAGACAAGGACCATGGGAAGCAGAGCTGCCTTGATCTCAAAAGGTGGAACAACAGCCTGATGGGTCTCTAAGGATGGACCACAGCCTCCTAGGTTTTAAAGAATTAAACATTTACCAATTTTGTTCCAGAGTGTGAGGCTGCCATTCATGAGTGCTGGGCGATGGAGTCGAAACTGCTGCCCAAAGCTGAGGGTCAGGGCTGCTATGCCGCAAGGAAAGAAGAACAGGGCCTGCTGGGGCCAAAAGGGTGGGGTTTCAAATCAATTGTACTAAAAGAATGGAGCCACCCAAAGTCAAGGGAGAAGAGATGTCATCCCAGTGAGACTGAATGTGGAGATGAAGCTCAGGGCCAAAGGACCTCCATGTAAAATCTAGAGCATGTGGCCAGCACCCAGAGCCTGGAGCCCAGAACCACTGCCTAGATGGTCTCAGAGAACAGAGGATTCTTTTCAAACTTGAGAGCTAATGCAAAGTGTTCTGCTGGGTTTGAGGCTGCTTAATTCCCAGTATCCCTTCTTTCCCTCAAGTTTTTCCTGTCTGTAATAGAAATGCCTCCCCCGTGACTGTTCCAACATTGCACTTAGGAAGCAGATAACTTGTATTCTGGAATTCACAGGTTCACAAATGAAGAGGAATCTTGGCCCAGGACAGAATTTGGATGTGGAGCTTTTTAAAGATTTTTGAGATAATATGATGGTATACAAGTATTTTTCATGTGGCGAGGGCATGAATTTGGGGGGATACTGGGTGTAATATCATGTATTGAATTGTGTGCCCCCAAAATAAGTGTCAACTTGGCTGGGACATGATTCTCAGTGATTTGGAAGTTATGTATTGATGTAATCATCCCCATGATGTGATCTGAGCTGATCAGCCAATCAGTTCTAAGGAGATCAGAGTTGTATGCCATACCCTTACTCAAGTCACAATCCTGATTCTGTGTGAGGCAAGTTTCCCTGAGGTATGGTTTATATCACCTTCCATTTTATGAGACAAAAGGAGAGAGAACAGAACAGAGAAGGAGGGTCTACTACCATCAAAAAAGAAATACAGAGAGTGGGACACACTGGGAACACCCCTGGATTTCCTGTGCTGATTCAGGGAAGATTGAAGCCAAGAGTCATGGAGATCGCCAGGGAATTCTGGGCTCACAGTTGTCGGGGAAAAAAAAACCAACCAAGAATCTTCCCCTAGAACCAACAGAGAGAAAAGTCTTCTCCTAGAACATGTGCCCTGCGTACAGACTTTTAACCTCCTCCTAAATTGTAAGAGAACAAATCTGTTTGTTAAAGTCATCCAACCTATGGAATTTCAATGATAACAGCACTGACTAACTAAGACAGCATCCCAAAACACTTATCCAAGTCTTTCTTTCAATATAAACAGTGAAATTGCTGGAGCATTTGATTAAATATAACCTTGTCTGTTTCTTTACATTTCTAGCCAAGTTTTGGTGTCTTCAAAGACTAGGTCCAGGACAATTTTTGACCTGGGGTCTTCCCCTAATCTAACTTCTTCAGAATCCAAAATTGGAAGCACAAAGAAAGTCCAGTGTGAATGGAAAGACAGAAGGCACCCAAAGAGGGAATGTGGATGAGACTGCTGAAAAGAAGCCTCCAGAAAGCTGCGTATGAGGAACCAAATTCTATAAGCCATTCTTTGACTACAACCCTACTGGCCACAAACCTCCTACCTTTCCCCTCCCACCACTCACTGAAACCACCATTCAACTAAGACTGGACTCTTGCTGGTCAGTCCCATCCTCCAGTCAAAACCAGGTACCTTAGAAAGATGGCTGCAGACTTTTTGACTCTCCTGTAATATAAAAAACCCATGATGGTTCCCAGGGAAGAGCCTGTTCACAACATTTCCACCTCCAGAGCTCCCGCAGACAAAATCAGAGAGGACCTCACTGATATGCAGAGGAGCTTATCCCCCAGTGCAGGCAGCCCCACACGTCAGAAAACCCCAGCTGGAGAAGTCCCTTGAGGGTACAAATCCAGTGATGCATGTTTCTAGAGTCACCCTCAGTACCCAGGAAAATTTGTGGTTAATTGAGTGAGTGGACAGAAGACAAGGTATGTTGTTTTTTTTTTCTGTTCCATTTTTTATTTCTCACACTTGCCTATAATGCACTGTCTAGGCAACACCAGGTACTCACCCATTGGACTTCCCAAGAATCTTGTGTCTAGGGTCCACCATCCCCAACATCTCCTGGTTCATTTGGAGTTAAATTTTGCTGAATTCTGAAAGCTCTCATTTGTGAAATCTGCCTTAGTATAGAAAATCCAGTAGAACGTTACCCCAAAGTCAACTGAGAAGAGGACTCAAAAGATTGGAGCCCTGGACTTAAACTGCAAGTCCAAGTTTTTTTTACTTACCCACTGTGATCTTGGCGGAATCTATTAATGATACAAATGGTTAATGAATTCAGCTGCTAACTGAAAGGTTGAAGCTTCAAGTGTCCCCAGAAGCACTTCAGAAGAAACACCTGGAGATCTACTTCCTAAACACTGAAAGCCTCTGGAGCACAGTTCAACTCTGAAACACGCGAAGCCATCCGGAGTCAGGCCTCTCCGAGCTTCAGCTTCCTTATTGTAGAACTATAGAGATGCCAACAATCCCCCAACACATACCCTAGCCCCATGATGGAATATGCATGAGACTATGTATATAAAAGTACTTGCTTTTTAAATCATTCAGATCCAGACAAATATGAATTACTGACATAATTATCTAATAACAGAATTTTTTTTTACTGTATCTTATACCCAAATTAAAGATGAACATATATTGATTTACCTCTTCAGTTTTGTTTCCCTCATTTCTATTCAAGAGTATTAGGATTCCTGAAACGTGTCTACTTATGAGGGATCTGGATTAAACTTAGGGATAGAGGGAAAGATGGAACAGGGGGATTGGAGAGACAAGTCTGTTTGTGCCAGGATGATGAGAAACTGGTTCAGTTGAGCCTGAGGCAAAATTGTCCAGGAAGCTAAGATTGTGTTCTTTCCTCCATCTTTCCCCTGGCCTGACTTGAAAGTCTTCTGTCTCCAAGTCTAAGGCTTTTTCCTGTCCCATGATCCATTTGTGTCTGAACCAGTACCTCCAATGGGAAGGAATGCTACCACTTCCTGGTGGGAATTTCAGGGATCTTAAAAACTTGATAGAAGGCACTTTGAGAACTTGAGGGAAACTTTTGGGAAGGGGGAAAAGGCTTATCCTAACTCCTCACCAAGTTATACTGACTATAGCCTACCCCTCTCCACCATGGGGCTATTTCAGATTTTAGGTGTGGGGTTGTTGCAACCCCTCCTAAACTCCCAGTTGTCCTCCCACAAAATGAAGTATAGCTAGATGAACCAAAGAAGGACAAGGTTAGCCCAATCCCTTGACTTCAACAATTTCAGAAAATCAGTTTTGAACATCACTGATACTTAGAGGGAAGAGATAGGCATAGTGTTGTTGTTGTTGTTGTTAAGTGCAGTGGAGTCAGTTCCTACTCACAGTGACCTTGTATAGGGTTTCCAAGATGTAGCTGGTGAATTTGAACCACCGAACTTGTGGTTTAAACAGACCTTGTGATCTAGTGCCTTATCCCACAGCACCACAACAGGGTTCTAGGCATAATATGGCCTTGGGGAATTAGATGATTGTAGGTCATTGTAGGAGATGAGAGAGGAGCACAGACATCCAGGTGACTCCTTTAGTCACATCTGTGGAGCTGGGGAGTGGGGGAAATGAGACCACAAACATGAATGAGCCTCACTTTCAAATGGGCCACCCTCTAGTTATTTACATTCAGGGAAATGTTTCCATAAGAATACTCCAGTTCCAAGAAATTCCTGTCCCTTTTCCAAAATGACTTGATGGAGAAAAAAATGACATGGCTTGATTGTCCCCATAGCTGGAAATGCACACAAACATATCATTAAAACAATCCCAGCAAGCTGGCAAACTCAGAAGTCAGCCTATACAGACCCACTACAACAAAGAACCAAAAGAAACAGATATAGGTGATAGGCCTGAAACTTCAGGGAAAGGGACAGGAAAGTGGATTGAAGGCTTACTAGGAGAGAGAATTGAACAGATGCAGCAAAAAAAGGAGACAGACCTGTATCTTAAGCTTTTTTTACTGGCTTCAGGGGCAAGACGGCAGATTGGCATTATAAAAACACCGGTGACTCACAGGG